TATATATATATATATATCGTTACATATTCGAAACATGTTTCACATAATCATATATCTTGCAAAAATTGTAATAATCTCAAAAATTTCTGGCGCAAAGATCCTCAAATTTATTTTTACTGAATTGATTTTTGTAATATATATAAAATAAAAGAATGTATGTGCATATAACATTTTAAACACTTCATGAATGTTTAAACATTCTATAAAAATTTTTTTGCCTTTCTAGCACATTGGGAATTACAAATCGAACTTTTAAATGCAGATACCAATAATTCAAATGTAAAACCAATACATGATTATTTTATGATTTCTAGATAACTATGATAGCACTCCTTAACTATCTTCTTCGAAACATAGGATTCTTAGACAGTGTTGATGATGATCATATTACAACTCAAATAAGACGAAAAACCATAAAATGGGCATGTATCATCGGTGATGAGTATTGCAAGAATATGATCGCTTTTAAATTGGATCAACATCTCGCAGATTCAGAACTTTACAGGTAACTTTTATACAATTTCAATTATCTTATAATCGAATTTGTGTGAACTCGCGCGCGCGTGCGTACGCGCGAGTGCAAGCAGAATATCGATAAAGAATCAAACAGTCTCCTTTTTGTTTTTTCTCAATCTACATTCTATATTATTCTAATAATGTAATGCATAGAATGGATATGACGTTTTAAGTAAAAACATCCAATAAATTGTTAAGCGATTTACTGATAGAATCATTTTTTATTTATTTCTTTATTGTAAAATGATTTACATGTATAAGAGATAGAAAATAGAAAAGTAGCGCAGAACAAAAATTTAATTTTACATTGTAAAGAAGCTTAATAAAGCTTAGATCATTAATATATAAAACTTAATAAAATAAACATTATTCATACATTTGAAATGTATTATTTATTGATAGATAAATATACTTTTTAGAATGCAACAAGGATATAATTTTATGTATTGTGTTGGTTTGATGGCAGCCAATAGAACTACTTGGGATAAAATGTTGGATGTATATCAAAAGATAGATTCAAAAAAGGAAAAATTTAAAAAAACATTACTGAAAAGTTTGAGTTGCTCAGAAAATTCTGATATTATCATTAATTATTTAAATATTACAGTATTTAATACTTCATTATTTCATGAAAAGGAACGTTCTTTTATCATCAAGTCTGTTCTTGATAAGCATTCGAACAACAATTTGATCCTTGATTATATATTGAATAATTTTGACACTATAAAGTCCAAGTAATATACCATTTCTTTTTGGAAATATAGTTTTCTCAGTCATAAACATTTATTAATCATGAATATATTACTTTCTCTATTTACAGAACACTTACTACAACTCTAATAATAAAACTTATTCTTCGGAAAGTCTTCTACGATGAACAAATTGACAAGGTATGTTTTATGATTCTAAAATTACATATTTATTAACTTATCAAATATTAAATCAAATAAAGTTAAACTAAAAAGTTGTAACAGATTTCAAATAAAAACCTGTTGCAATAAATATAAATTATTTCAACTTTATATAATTAAATTAATAATAACATTAATAAATAATTATGTTTGCATCTTTAAACTATTTTTGAAGAATGTGACGTAAAATCGAACAATATCTTGACGCGCGATTTAAAATGTAAACTGAATTATGTATAAGAAATTATACTTATTATTAAACATCTTTACTTAATCCGTTTCAGATAAGAGTATTCTCGGACACTAATTTTGATCATGATCCAAACACTCGGGATAAAATTAAAACACTGATAGGACAGCGTAAAAATGAACTTAGAGAACATCTAGAAACTTATAAAAAATTATTTTTTTAGAAGGGATCAACTTTAATGATCGACTTTTGATCCGATTGATCAAAAACAAATATAATAAAAGACATACATTTGATAATTATATGAATTTAATGATGAATTATATATAATAAAAGTAATTTTATATAAATAGTAATTATTATTATTATATAAATATAAAATATATACGTAAAAACACATCAAGCCAAGAGAAAGTCAAAATATGCGTGAAAATTAAAATGATGATTTTTTTTGTTACAATTAATTTTTTGTGTTCCTTGGAAGCAAAATGCAGATTGTTAAATTATGCATGCGTTTTATTCCACACATAATACACATCAATACATCATTTTATCTCTAATGTTTAATATTAATATTAGAGAAAAATAAAATAATATATTATGTAAATCATATGCATGAAACGGAATTCACTTCTAATTGTAATATTTCGCCATGTTCGTCTCCTTCAAGATTGCCTATCAAAAAAGTTGAAAATATACAGAAGTCTACTTAAGAGTTTCTTTGTACAGCACAGAAACTTGCAGTAACATTGCAGTAATGTTGTATATTGCTCTGTAATAATGCAATTGTTATACACAACATTGTAGATACTAGAAATTGTAATATATAATACATATTATGGCAGAAGTTTTACAAATCTTGCAGCATTATTACAGAGAAAAAACATTTTGGCTTTTTGAGTAATAAACTGTGACATATGGAAACATAAATTACGCGTTATATGACTGTTAATTACATATTAATTTATGACTTTTGCACACTGGACGCGAAAACGCTTGATGTACGGACAATCTTTTTGTGTATAGTGCGGGAGGCATTAGGAATATATGTTCGTTGAAATATTTGTTGTCGCCGCCGAGTGACAAGATTTTTTAAATTTTATAATTAGCAGAGAGTCCGGATCACAATGTTATTAATTCCTACACCAAGCGCCGCGCGTCTCAAAAAGCAATGCCATCTACGCCGATATGTTACAATCCAGAAGTGCGTTCGTGAAACTGCTATTAGCGCTATTTTGTGTCCTTCTATATTTGTTTATGTCCAATAAGTGATAAAGATAGAATAATATAAATAACATTAATTGCGTTTTTTCAAATGCACTCTACATCTCTAAAATAAGAGCAAATTTGATGAAGGGTAACACAATAAATCATTACATCCCTGTTTGCCAATGTTAAACAAAGAGGAAGTGCTCACTGCGTTATATTGTGTTTCTTATTAAAAAGCTGGAAACTATTTGATATGCATAAGTTTTATTACTATTCTTGAAATTTTATTACTGATTTCTAATATGGACATTTCCATTTTATTTTAAATTTTGTCGAAAGATTAACAAAGTCTTTGTGATTCGAATTGCTCGACTAGCTAATGTTTTCTGCTCGATTAAGATTTAAGGTCCAATTGTATATATAAATCGCACTATTCGTTATTGAGAACAAAAAATCACAGTTTAAAATGTGGATCTCTTTTATATTGACGACCTTACAATTACGTATTTACATTTATGTATTTGTTATAGCTTCGGTGATATTGAAATTGTAGAGCCAGTATTTGAAGATCTTTCAAGATGATAAAACGGTACAATTATGTTAATATATTCCTGACAACGGCTCATTGCTAGACTATTAATCAATTGTATAACTATAGGAATTCAATAGTATTTTAATCAGCAGAAGGGTGTAATATATAAGTAAGTAGTTAAAAAGAATAATAATATAATAGATATTTGTTTCTTGTTAAAAAATAAAAATATTGTCATAAAAAATATTTAAAGAATGCCAAAACCAAAAAGAACTACTAAAGAATCCCATATGATTTATAGAAAACGTTTTCGATTAATTTGTTGAAATTATTACATTTATTGCAGCTTTCATTAAAAATTGCAATAGGAAAAACACTTTTATGTTAAGTTTTTAAGTTAAAGGCAATTAAAACAGAGATCAATTATGGGATTTCTAAAATTATTATTAAATCTCAGTCTACATATAATATTGATCACAAACAGCATTTTTTGTGCCAACAATGACTTAGAAATTATTCGTTTACCCAACAATACAGTACCATCAGTCTATAACATTTCTCTGATATTGAATCTAGAAGAAGACTTGTTTACTTTTCACGGTGAATCCAATATTAGAATTGAGATTCGTTATGCATCGTTAAATAATATAAGCTTGCATTCAAAAGAATTAGAATTAAATGAAATAGCGACAACGTTGATTAATAACAATGGTACAGTTTATAAACCAATAAAACATTTCCATGACAATCAAACGGATATCTTGACACTCAATTTCAAAAATGTATTGTCACCCGGCTTTTACACTCTTAACATGAAATTTGCCGGTATTATCCGAGACAATAATTTTTTCGAAAGTGGTTTTATGATATTTTGGTATACAAATAAAAGAACAAAAGATATGTAAGTGTAAAACATTAAAATATTAAAAAGTATAAACTATTGTGAAACATTAAAAATACTCGATAACATGTTGCTAAACATATTTTGGCAATTATACTAAAAAAAATTTTTTAGTTTGTAAATATAATTTCAATATATTTATTAAGTAATATTAATATTAGAATGTATATGTAATATGTGTTTAATGTAATATTTAGTAGCTTTAATATTCAAAATAAAAAATATTACGTCTTAATTTTTTTCTTCAAAAAAATTATTATTATATTATTAATAAGTAACAATGTAAATAACGAGTGTTCTTAAAATTTTTTTATCATTTAACATAAGTGGAAAATTTGTTGTTACTTAAAATATTTTATTAAATTGTAGGATGGTTGCAACATATTCGGAGCCGAAAGGAGCTAGACGAATATTTCCGTGTTGGGACGAACCCGCGATAAAAGCCATCTTTAATATTTCTGTAATGCATCATGTGGAATATCTGGCATTATCAAATATGCCTCTAGTACAAAGAAAATTTTTTGAAAATGATACGATCTGTTCGTACTTCGACATTTCTCCAATAATGTCCACTTATCTTGTAGAGATTATCGTATTCCCCATGATTGATTTTCACCATCTTTCCAATGAGAAGGAAACTATCAATGTGTGGTGCAGATCATCTTTGGTATCGCAAATAACATTTGTGTTTAATATTACTGAAATGATCACGCCATTCTTGATCCAATACACCAATAGTTCCGAAAAGATACCGAAAATGGATCACTTTATCATACCAAATTTTCCGGTTAGTGGCATGGAACACTGGGGACTCATCACTTACAAGTAATGTACATATAATTAAAAAGAAATTAATTACACCATTAAAATTAGCAAATATTATTCTTAGCATTCGAAATTTAGTAATTTAAAATATGTGCGTATTTTACTATATATAAATGAATGTATTTTTATGTTTAGATCTAAAATAGTTGTTGTGTTTAATATATATATTATTGAATTCTTCTTTTTTTTAATGCATTTACGTATATGTACGTATATATATATAGAATATTGCTGAACCAATTCCTGGATCTCAAAAACGGCTTTAGAAAAATAAAAATTTTAGCATATTAAGATAACACATGATGAAAACATAGCTTTATGCTCAATTTCTTCACTTCTAAATAACTTTATCCAAGAAATATCTTTTAGATTACAATGGAAATATTTTCTGAATAAGGTTATCCGCAAATTATTTGAAAGTATAGAAATTGAGAATTGGAAGACCTTATTCAAGGCCACAAGTCAATGTGATTAATATTTTCTTATGTAAAATCCATTATTTTTCGTTACAATTCTTGTAATTTACTTTGGTAGATTTTCAAAACAATATACATAAAAAAAGATTATTAACTATTTAATCAATATTTTCTAAATTATATGAGATTTAAAAAATAAGATTTAATAGAAATTGCCAACATTAGGATAATAAAAAGTTCAACTGATAGCTAAAACATTTTGAATATTCTTCAGAATCGCGATCCTGATTTTTATTTGTCAAGGTCAAGACCACTAGAGATGGTTGCTCCCTTCATCATACTTATGTACATAAGAAAACATTCTTAATGTACATTAAAACAGTTACATAAAAATAAAAAAATTTATACATCTGAATTATTGACGAAGAACATAATTACTCAAAAATACATTACATTAGATTGTATATTCACAACAGAAACGTTTTATATTACGTTCTGCCTTTCAGTGAATCATCAGTTATCTACGATGCTAACAAACATCCAACATATAGGAAAGCAGAATTAGCAGCGATAGTAGCACATAAAATTGCACTTCAATGGTTTGGTAATTTGGTCACACCGTCTTGGTGGTCTTATCATTGGTTAAAAAAGGGACTTGCTTCGTTCTTTCATACGTACATTATTGACAAGGTTATTTAATATTATTATATAATGCAAAGTTGCTTATTATTGGAAAAAACTTTAAAATACATTTTAATGTGTAAGATTAAAATGAGACCAGTATTACATAAGGCGTTTTTATTAAATATATTAAGATATATAATATAGAATTAAATAACAGATAACATATGCTTTAATTTAAAATTATATTTTAATATTAAACAATTTTAAGTAATCTCCAATATATTTAATAGTAATTAAACTAGACATGACTCTTCTTAAAGAATTCGATACAAGAAACTTAATTGAATGTAGGCGCCATGAAAAATAAAATTGCAAAGTTATAAAATTGGAAATGACAAACAAACTGATTCTTTATTTCTAATTTGGAATTTTTAATTCAGTTACACCACATATCTTTTTTTCTTTAGATTTTTGATGATTGGCGGACAATAGATTTTTTTGTAGTTGACAAATTACACTACAGCTTGATGGTAGATAAAGGTATCTTGAGTCCTGTCACATTGAAACTTAAAAGTAATTTTGAACGACTGGATCTGCATTCTTTTGTAGTTTATCATAAAGGTAAGATTTTGTAAATATAATTAGACTATATTATCTGTTATAGATTTTTTAATGTATATAGTACAAATAAAAAGATAAAATAGAAAACTAAACAAACAAATTCTTCTTTTGAACAATATATAGGATGTTGCAAAATTCACGCTCGCAAAGTTTGTTTTAGCACAAAGTATCACATCATTTATTTCGCTGGCGCAAATTTTGAAACATTCTGTTGCATAAGTGTATTACATTGTATATTTTAATTTTATATGTAGTTTAATTGTATCATTAATATTTGATGCACTATTGTAGCGTCAGTTATATTGCGCATGTTACAACATACTGTTACTGATGAGGTATTTCGGAAGGGTCTTATCATATATTTAGCCACGCAGTAAGTATGTGTAAATGTTTATTATATATCATAGTACTAAGTATCATAAATGTAATAATATCTTTTGTATTTACGAAGAAAAGTATACTATTTCATCAGAAACATAAAATTAGACATACACTTGAGATACCGCATTACTGTTTAATTATAAACCATACACACTTTACTTTTTAATAATTATAATTTAACTTAAATTAATTTTGAACTATATTGTAAATTTTTGCATTGCATGGTATTTATATATTACATTGTACATTAATATTCACGTAGATTCATTAATAGTGATTTTAATCATTTTCCGATATATGATTATAATGTTAACAATCGTTTTTTATTTAGTGAATATGGATCAACTACTCCGGATGATTTGTGGAACGCTATACAAACTGCTTTAGACGAATCTGATGTCCCACACGAATATTATAGAATAAAGGAAGTAATGGATACATGGATGAATCAAAAGAGTTATCCCGTTGTGCATGTGATGAAAAATTACACAACTGGCGAAATAACAATATCTCAAGAATGTGTTTGCAGGCAGAAAATTAATAACAAATGGTGGATACCCATAACATTTGCCACGCAGTCCAATCCGAATTTCTCCAGTGCTGTGCCCAGATATTGGTTGCAACCAGATCAAAATATAACTTTTAAAATTGATCCAAATGATTGGATTATTGTTAATGTACAACAAACTGGTAAATATGGTTCAATTAAGTAATGCTTGATTTATTTTATGTGTAAAGTTTTACATCGTTCTGCAAAGTCCTAAATTGTTCAAACTTTATATTTATTTTTTTATCTATAAAAACTTGAAAGAGATTTATATAATTACGTTCTCCGAAACTTTAGCCAAAA